GATTGCGCCACACGTCGCTGACAAGTGCAATTCGTGTAGATTAGTTAGAAATAGTGTTTTATTATATTGCATGTATGTTAGTCCTTAAGGTATATATTATATGGGTCATGTGGCCTGAAATAAATAAATAAATAAAATAGAAGTAAAAACACACTCCCAGACAGTAAATTAGTCGGGTAATGTAGAGACCATTAACCGGATTTCCCGAGAGTTCCAGACATTCGGCACTCAAACTGAGATAATGAGTAATGATGGATAACAAATGGTTATAGATTAGTTCATCATCATGATCCTATTTAAGTGCTAGGTTCTTGTCGGTGTAACCTCCTCTACTCCTCACATTTCATAGGCAGCTCCTTGGCCTCTGTACAGATGCTCACTTCATGTTTTTCTGTATTGGTTCACTATACGCCATTCTTGATTTTCCTCTCTTTCTTTTCCCCAATAAAGTCTAAAATAAAATTGCAATAAAAGCAAAGTAGGTATTTCAAACGAAACTGATGACATTTTTTATCTCTTTCATCTGATTATTTCTCTGATAATTGTATTCATATTTTCGAAAACGTGACTTCTAATGGAAATATTCGGTCTCTGTGCTTAATGTATTTCAATCTCAGCATAATAAAAGTTTAATTTAATTGTTTAAATTTAATCGTTGTTTAATACGTGTTAATCTACTAAACAAATACAAAAATAAATGATTAAATATGCATTACATATACTTAAACACCTAAATTTAAAAAGTTTATTACAAAAAATTTACTCATTTTGCGATTACACAATATATTACGTTTATTAAGTAATCAGTCGGAATGTTAGGTACATGAGTCATGTGATATTCATGATAAATATAAGTACGGTAGGATGATGTAAAAATTGTCTTAACATTTAGAATACTGCTGATTTTCACGACATAAAACCATTATAAAAACATTTACACGAAATGTATTATGTGAGTCACTTTTAGTACTCACTGCAATAGGTATGCAAAGTCATATGCAATTTTTTTTATAACGTGACAAGACAAATTTTTAATCGCTAAATCCGAAGCATATCAAGCACATAGCAATACATGGACGGATCTTGTTCCGTTGCACTGGGAGGCGATATTCGTACAAAAGTGTGTAGGTTGATGTGGTGTTGACCGTACATTTTAATTATATCTTTAGGTTACACCCACCGTAAGATCCCCACGAATTTTCCACAATACGATTTTTTCTACTCCTGGACTAATCTGTGTAAATGTGTCAATTATAATTTCATAAAACGTATCATAAAGGCGCTCCTTTTAGTTTTGAATAAAAATTTTATTGTCTATGGTACTAGCCACTGCGCTGAAAAATGTCATTAGTTCTGTACACAGAACTATAACCAGTATTATAGTCTGTACACAGAATAATTCTGTGTACAATACTATAATACTGAATGAGAATGAGTTTTAAAAAAAGAAAGTCGTATTTTGCTAATAAAATATCAATTAGGACGCTACTCAAACGCCTCCTGACTGGTTAAATTGGCCCAAAAGACTAGCAACCATAAATCTTAATAAAAAAAATGCTCTTCTAGTTCTATTCTATCACTTTGGTTTTTTGTTTTGTAGCGTTTGTTTGGATTTCGTCTAAATATATGAAGAGGTTGTACGGTGGAACCTTTGCCTTCTCTATTATATGGGTTAAAATTTATTTTAAAAAATGCGTTTTTTGTCATGAATTGTTAACAAAATATACATTAAATATTGTTTCTGTGTTATGATTTTAGTTACTTGTAGAAAAAGTATTACATGCAATCATTACATAATTAAGTCTTAAAATCTTGTACCTATTTAAATGCGGTACCTCCTCAACTTAGAGAACTCTCTTTTATGCAACGATTGCATAAAATACTATTATTGTATTTAGTAATTTTCATTATAAATAACACGAATCATTGTTATTATCACTAATCTCTATTTGACTCTCTCCTCTTGCAAAGTTTTTTGCAAACGACGTTTGATCGTGAACTTTCCTCAATAAACGATTCTCAGGCGTCCTAGATAGTATAGAGGTATAGTTACTTATATACGATACCTAAGCAAGGCGCACAACTATTGCATCATTCCTAATATAGCCTTGTGTCTTGGGAAACCAAATGTCCCAGTGTCATGTTCTACACTCAGCTATTTCTTTAGGTCGATCGATATACAAGGTAGAGCAATCTTACTTGTGATTTAAAGATTGTACCTTCAGTTCTGTTTAACACATGTTGAAATTATAATGTTGTCACTAAAAAGGCAACTTACAGGAAATAATTCCTTTATTTTTTTCCATCTTCTAAGGAAAATAATCATTATAATTTAAAAGTTTAAATTTGAAAACACGACATTTTATTTTCATGATGGTATTGTTTTGAACGTGGGATGTATTTCGTGCTTGTGACCGGAAGTAGTATCACTTTTGTAAATGTAGTCAACTAAGCGTGTAAAGCACGATAGACTCAAGTCTCACTGTAAGTAGTACAGAGTTTAATTGCAAAGGTAGACGTACCTTTGTCTTAGTGTAAAGAGGAACGTGCCATTCGTTCGTTTAGAGAACTCGTGAATATTTCTTAAAGTGGTTTATCATGAAGTTCCTTACTTTTATTTAAAAATACTATTATTTTTTAATACAAACAAAAAAACAAGGAACGCAGCAGCTGTTCAATTCCTTCTGTTTTTCGATTGATTCCGCGTCTTTTTAGATACCTATTGATTTATCTACTGACTGACTAAGGGTCGTAATCCAGCACTCTACTCATGCTCAAGTCAGGATTTGAGCAGATTTGAGTATGATTTCAAGCACTGTAAAATACGACCCTAATGGCAAGGATTTGAGTATGATTTTCAGTGCTCACTGCAATACTCAAGTCCTGACTTGAGTATTGAGTAGAGTTCTGGAATACGACCCTCAGTGTTTCTACTTTGATCACAAATTTACAGTGTATACAATATTGCAAATTGAATTGTTTAAAGTGTTTTCTTTAAGAAAAAAATCATAATTCTAATTTTATTTGTTATATGGAAAAACCGAAACTTTCTAGTGTTCCACATAACAAATAAAATTAGTTATGATTTTTTTTAAATACTTTAAATCGTTCTCCGGTAATATTTTCCAAATACACGTCAGACGCCTTAGCATTCCAGTGTCAATCATCGTATCATCGATAATTTTTTCATTGCTTTAACACAGCAAAATTTTTATTTCATTTATGCGATTATTTAGTTCTATGTAACTTACGCCAGTCATACAACTTTTACAAGTTTACAAAACTAAGCTGAAAAATTTGTACCCTAAGCGTGTCAATTAATACTTACTGCGGACAGACTTTTAGATTATTGTGACAGACTTATAGCTAAAACAAAAACGTGCTCTAAACTTTTATAGAACATATTTTTGTTACTTGGTTTTTGACTTTCTAAATTAATAACATTCCATAATTATATTCATCATCATCATCATATCAGCCGGAAGACGTCCACTGCCGACCATAGGCCGACCCCAAATATTTCCAGACTAGCCAATCGGACGCGACGTGCATCCATCGGTTACCCGCCGCCCTTACCAGATCGTCCGTTCATCTAGTAGGAGGCCGTCTCCATTCGAGAACCTTTCTGCCCCAATGGCCGTCAGTTCTATGAGCTGTGTGCTACTTTTCCCACTGCTACTTCAACTTGCTAATCCTTTGAACTATATCGGTGACTTTCGTTCTTCTCCTCATTTCTGATACGTTCACTACATAATTGTATTAAATATTAATAACCATTATGCAGTTCTGCTCCAATTCATACGACCTAAATTGCAATATCGATAAAAATTGATAAATCTCCCTGAAACGGTGCCGCAATTAATGTAATGTGATAATGAAAGGATTTATTTCAATGAAAGTTGCTAAATACTTGTGGAACACTGATGGCAGAAGTTCTCGCAACTCAACCAATACTATTATATTAAAAGCAGTAATTAACCTGTGTATTGACAGCAACGCCGTTTACCGTAAAATTGAATTTTAGAATATGCTTGTAAAGGGGTACCATGTTTTGCTACATGAATCTTAACTTAGGCTTTACAGTGCGATTTCCAAATGCTTTCTTTATAGTTGCCGCCTACTGCTTTTCCATAGAGAAGTATTAACAACGAGCTAACAAAATTCAATAATTTACATACACTGAACATTTTATATTGAATCATTACAAGCATTACGGCAAGAAAAATAGTGACTTTTTGCGTGCGGTACTATTTAAATATTGTCCATGAAAGGGTTAAGGGATTATATTTAGGCTATTAATGATTAACCAAATTACAATATATTGTCTCTTCTACAAAATTAAAAATACCTCTTAGATTTGTCCTGTCTCAAACTCTGCATTCCTAAACTAAAAACAAGCGTTTGTTATACCGCTAGGCCATAAACATTGCGTCAATAAACTTTGCGCCCATGCCAATCCAATATGCAATGTGGGTGCACAGTACGACTATAGTCAGTATTAAATTTAGACGATAATGTCTAAATATAATATGTCTACGAATATTCAGACGGACGACACGCTAGTTTATTACAGTGTCGATGTGTATACACACTGTACGTATCTGATCGATCACAGATACTTTCGTACAGTCACTGTGACCACTCGCTGTTGATACAGCCCGCATGTAACATGATAATAACGCACTCACTCATAGCCCCGTACTAGGGAAACCCTGTATCGCGGATGCCATGGATACACGCATACATAACCACAAATTATCTAAACATAAATGTTGGCCATACAAATATTTCACCCGGGTCCCGGCGGACCAGCATGGTATAACCGTTCGCCACGACTCTATGGCCACGAGTCCACGACATATTCAAGCTCGAACCTTGTTATCGTTCTTCTTATCGCAAGACTTAAAAGTGATAAACAAGAAGCAAAAGCGTGCGCCTGCGCCGATTTGCTTCATTCCATTCCACTCTGTGTGTTGCAATCACTTCGTTCGTCATCGTTCGCCGTCGACTCGTTCAGTCGCTCAGTCGCCACACTCGCGTCGCCACGACTCTCCTCGTGTTTACTTTTCGCATCATGAGCCTGCAAGCCAACAACACATAAATCTTTCAAAATGAAGCCTAATCGGTTATAACGTTTTGTTTATCAAACCTTTTTAATTTTAGATCGAATATATTATATTGTGATATTTAGTTAGTTTTCCGATATTGTTAATATTATTTAATATTTATCTATAATGGATTCGAATTATAGTACTTAGTATATATTTTTATAATTAACATATCAGTGCTCAAGATAATCTCATTCCAAAACGCCCAGTAATTGAAAATTAGTCTGAAAGTTTTAAATTAGAATCAGTTACGATGACAGCCAAAACTCGTTCACATTGGAAGGAATATGGAACAGCACTATGCGGTAAGTTCATTTTCTAACCTCTCTATCACACCATGCGTTAACCTCATTAGCTGTTTCTATTTTCCGCTTTTGCTCATTGTCTGGACACAATTACTAATTAACGTAGTAATAATACGTCGTAAATATGGTATAACGCTGAATTCCGAGCATTCTCAGTCAGACACAGCACACTTCTCGGCTTTCAATCATTCCGCTGTCGCTTCGTATCGTTTTGTGGCCTCTCATCAGTTATTGCCTACAACAAATTTCACGCGATAGCCACCAATGAATCTAACATTATTTACATCAATATTACTTTTATACATAATATACAACCTTTGCTTAATAATATTGTATCTAAAATAGTTAATTTTAAAGTTCAATTTCTTTGTGTATACATGACAAAATCACATAACCTCGATTAATACTCGCCTGTCGATTTTGTTTACCAGGATAGAGGACATCTGAATTCAACTAAATGCCTATCTAAATTCAGTTGCAAAAGGTTATCAAAAGAGCACATGTTATTTACATGTGTCTTACTTTTGAATCCACTACTTTAGAAATTATAACAAATGTAATCTACTGTACGCTTATACAAATATATGAAAAGACATGAATTATGCGTATTTACTTTGGCATAACCAGACATAAATTCTTGTGAAAGTCGCTTTCACACGCTGCTAATTTTAATAAGACTAATATTACTACATACGTATGTCGATCGACATAACACGTTATATACTTTGAAGTATTTTTAATATATATTATATGAAGTAAAAACTCAATGGATTTCATGTTCTTTTTAAGAAAATGTACTTTTTTAAATTCAAATGGTAGTGCTGTCCATGTTTTATATCTACATTAAACACAGGAACGTATACAATATAACTTATATTAAAACTAGATGTTATATTACAGAGCACTTACAAAACGTGATCACTTCAAAATTATATCACTTCACTTCAATATTGCCTGTAAATTGGCGATATTATTAAGCAAATTATCAATTATAAAATATTTGAATCATAAAACAGTAAACAGAAATAGTTAATATTAACCCGTCACGAATCCAAGTGACACACGGCGTCCCTAACGCGCAGCTGCTTCCATCCATTTCAAAAATACAAAAAGTTATAAAACATTACTAAAATAAAAAGCAAAAATTACCAAAAAGTATTTTAGTAATACGAATTTAAAAAATAGGTACCTAAATTTTATTTTTAATGCCTATACATACATATATTTTAAATAAATTTATACAAATCAAACATTTTATGCATAGATCAGATCAAATTAAAATATCCATTGATTTAATTTATGTTATGTCTCAGAGAAAAAGGATCAATCATTAAAAAAACTGGCCGTTTAGATTTTTTTTACCTGCTGCTTTTGCAAATTTAAAATGATCATTTAAATACGTGCCTTATTTTTATTAGTATCAATTTCAATATAATATGAACAGTTGAAGGTCGAAAAAATTAAGATCGGAATGCTCTTACAATAGACTAGCAATTGGATGGAAGATCACATTAATTAAGAATGTTACAACAACTAATATACGGAAGTTTTTTTATAGCAGAGTCTGGCGCCTTTTTTTCCTTAAGGCAAAGCAGGCGCTGGTTAAACCCAATGATTCCTGGAAGTTCAAAGTCCAGGTATACACATACCCAAATATGAACAAGATGTGAACTTTATTCCACAACAATAAGTTTTAAATCTGCTTCTTTAATTTTTTTTATATTTACCGGGTAGTGTACAAAATTTGGTATTTCAAAATTCCAATTTATTTATAGTAATATGTCAGGAATCGATGGTACAAAATTTAAAAGCAAACCTTTATCCTTTTACCATTTCTAAACGAATAAACAACAGCATCTTTTTTTTTAAATGATCCCAAAGTAAGGAATTAAAGCACTTGTGTTATGGAAATCGGAAACAATGACGGTACCACAAACGCCCAGACCCGAGACAATATAGAAAAATTAGTTTCTGCACTGACCCGGTCGGGAATCGAACCCGGGACCTCAGAGATAGCGACACCATGAAAACCGGTGGGCAAACGACTCGACCAACCGAGGCCGTCAAAATTATTTGTAACTTCATCCGTACATGCATAACTTTATTTTCAATTTTAACAGTAGTTTAGCGATAACCCACACATTGAAATGTAATCATATCAAAGTAATTACAAATTTATATACTTATAACATTATATGCTTCGTTAGTAGGCGTTATTATTTCGCGTATTTTCAATAAAGATCTAGTCAGTTGCCATGGTCATATCATACCTTGGTACATTACAAGTATATACCCCTAACGTAAACAAGCCTCCAACGTAATAATGGTGTTTTCCTCAATTGACGAGAATTAAATTATCGAACCAAACTAATAAGTGCCGGTTAAACCGTTACGAACGTATGTAATTAAAAAATAATAAAATCCATTGACAACACACAATATTTATAACTTTAAAAAAACCGACCTCCAAAATTTGTAAAGTTTGCTTGGAATTTAGTAGCCGTACTCGCAGAGCTCCTTGTGAAAGAGTTCGTCCAGGGAAATACTTGCCACCTTACATGTTTCTACCGCCTAGCAGTAATGTGAGCATTACTACGTTCCGATATTGAAGGGTTAAGGGTGCTGGTGAAATTACAGGCACATGGGACTTGTCAGCTTATGTCAGGGTGACGGCCGCACTGGCAATGCCCCTCAGATCTATGCGATTTAAAGCGCTGAGTGGCACAGCAATTGTCATCGTTTACCACCAGGCGGATGACTTGTTCGACGCGTCGCTTGCTATCATTAAAAAAAGTACTCTATTTGCCAAGTTTTATTGAAATCGGTTAACGAAAAGTGGGTGAAATCTAATAAAGCGGATTCATCCCCTAATTTGCCACACTTAGAGGTAGAATATTTTCATCAAATTTGAATGGGACCACTACCCTTTCCAACAAAAAAAGAACCATCGAAATCGGTACACAAATATCAGAGTAATTGGGTAACATACACACAAAAAAAATTGAGAACCACCTCCTTTTTTAAATCGGTTAAAAATATAGCGCAATCAATAAAAATATATGAAATTGTAAAACTTGTATAGTTTAATGACGTATAACCTCGAATAAATCATTTGCACAAGCTTGGAATTCCAGGCTTATCATGACATCACCGGCTTTTGCAAAATGGCCTCTACTTACTCATAACTAGCACAATATGTTATGAACATAGTCAAATATTGCCTGTGAAAAAACAAATAATAATATGATTCATCATCATCATCATCGCCAACCCATTTTATGATTAACAAATCTAAATTTTTTTCATCAATGTTATTTAATGACAATTTTTTGTAATTTATGCATCTTTGATTTTAAATATTAATTTAACTTAATAGTAGTAATTACTACAATTAATACCGTGAACATCGCAACATAAACCGTGGAAATATTCAGCAAGCTAGGTAAATTTTTATCAAAGGTCATTTAAAAAATCTGTACAGGTAGTTGATCTACTACATTTAACAAAGCACACGGATGTGGACAGTGTTTGCACAATATCAAACAATGTGACAACGCAGTGTTTTCAATTCTTTATATAACATTGTACAGTATAATAATAATAATGATGATGAGTTGATGAGTAATATACATTAATTCTACGAATTTAATTTAAACTATAATTTATCACCATTGTCTATGATTTAATGTCATTTCTGTCTTCTTTCTTAATAGTTGGCGACTCTGCATTTTACATTTGTATGTAGCTTACAATACATTGCGTAAACTCACCCTCAGTTCTAAGCCTGATGGCTGCATTATCTATGTAATAAATTTTCTTAAAAAAGCTATAAGATAACAACCACAGAATACAAATTAAGAATTATCGAAGAAACATTTACTTAAATTGAAGCAATTCCAAAAAAATGCTGCAGATACTGTGTTTAATAAAGTAGTAATATACAATTAGTGCGTACGCTAAAATTTTACTGATATAATACATCTCGGTGCTTTGTCACATAATATCTGGGTTTTCACATTGCATAGTTTTGTAAAAACAATTACAATGATTTTTTTATAGGTATAATAACGTGAAATGACCAACTTTCCTATGCCTTTACAATTCTCAGTAAACTCTCATTCAGCCTCCCTTATAGCCGTGTAATTATTGTTCGTAGTCGCATTAAAGCTGTAAATGTTGAGTGTGAATGACATTATAGTTTACAGTGGATTTTCATCGATGCGCTCGAGTGCGAAGAGAGAGCACTACGGGTGTTTATAAACAATATGACAGTATTCTACTTAGAAGAATTCACAGTAATGAACAGACCATGACAATGGCATAGTTTTGTTGATCTTTTACCTGTAGAGTTCTAAATGAACTTTGTAACTTTTAGGTATGAAAGAAAAGAAAATTTCTTTTCATTATTATTTCTTTTTTATAAAAGCTGGAAAGGAGTTTGTAAACACTGAAATGCCGGTGCTAATATTGACTCCTAAGATCATAGTTACCCACACTGGTCCCTACTACTAGTTCTAGGGGGGTGATAAGGGCCTCGGTAGCAATTGGGGAGCGTTGATGCTGTCCAGGAGGCGCTACCACCGCCTTTGAAAAAAACCTGTATTATATATTTAAACTACACTACATATACGTGCTCTTTGCACTTCAAGTCTGACTATAAAGTAGCTATAAAAGCAAAGGCTGCAAAGGCCGAGTGCGTCTTTGCGGCGGGGTGAGAGCAGGAGAGAGTGACATAAAGCGATATACTGCTAGAAGAAGATACTGCTATTCTCGCGTAGAGATCGTGTCATGCTTGCAGCGCGAACACGCGATGTCGCGACGGAATGCGTCGGCATGTCATGCTGTTGTCGCAGCTCCTGATTGGTCAACTCAACTTCTACGATTCATACAGACGTACTTACTTTGTTTTTCTACGAAATGGTGTCTATGTGCAGTTGTTTATATCACAATGTAAAATCAAAACAAATGTAGCATGCGGCAAAATATTGCCATTTATACAT